TCTCACTCTATATATTCAGTGCCACTTCCATCCATCTATTAGGGGCTAATTCCACGAACCGTGCACAGCGTGTGTCACGCGGCACACTCAACAAAAAAACCCTGCTTTCTTTACATATATATTAAAATATTTACTTTAGATATGGAGGAAGAAGATTTTCTATAAAGGTACGATATCTCAGACCATCAGTTACAAATAAAAGCAATCTTTTTGCAGGTGCATTTTGTAAGGCTAGTATAACAGGCAACCCTTGTATAATTGGTGAATGAAAATTGATATCCAATATACCCTATAAGAGTACAAAATTCATTATCAATGTCCACGAAACAAATATATATGTGCTATTTTTATTATAAGCATTTGAATAGCCATTTTTATTTTGTATAAATTCAAAAATACTAAAAATTCTAAATTTTAACATATTTTATTAGTTATTAGGTAGACGATTAATTAAAAATATCTATACGTACATTATTTATTAAAATTTCAACATAATTAAATACTTTATTAGTTTACTTTCGTCTGTGTTAAAATTTATACAATTATTATAATTTCTTTAATAAAATTTTTCTATTAATTCATTTTTAGTTTAAAACTTATACATTCGAGTTACAAAGCTATTTAATTTTGAATCCTCAATACTAAATAACAAATTACTGTTCATATAATGATACAAATTGTTTATCGCCATGGCAACCGAGTAACATCGGCTATCGGTCAGTTAGTGTCGTGGTTAAAAAGACGATTAATTGACTATCAGTCAGAGAGAGAGAGAGAGGAGTCGGTAATCGCTGTCAATTAAAAAAAGCCGATTAATAGGCTATCGGTCGGTAAAGTGTTGAGAGACAAGTAAGATTTGAAACTTTAAAACCTAGGCTTGCTGCAGGACCAAGAATTGAGGCTTCTAGATCAGGGCTTCTTAAACTATGGGTCGCGACCCCAAATGGGGTCGCGTAGCAAAATTCTGGGGTCGCGAGAGATTTTAATGTAAAATATTTATATATACCATTTTATAACATCACTAGAGTTGGCGGAATACAGTGGACTTGCAGCGTCTAGACACGTGCATTTGTTGAAGGTTTTGAGCTATCTCCACCAACAGCAGTAATATTTGTATGGGGTCGTCAAGAAACTCGCAATCATAAATGGGGTCGTGAATGACAAAAGTTTAAGAAGCCCTGTTCTAGATCAACGGAAGACCGCGCTGGGTACAAGAGAGGACCTGGAGGTCTCTCTTGACCTGATGATAAGAAAGCTGATGTTGGTGCTGGAATAGGTGATTTAGCATTCCGTGGTGATTTCAGACGTGGAGAAGCTCCTTGAACAATTGGATATTAATGAAAATTTGGAACAATGGAACATTTTGGCTTCGTTTACTTTTTCTAAAGATATAGGGACCATATAAAAAACTGTAATGTTAACACATTGACAGCCGGTCCCGCGAAAACGCGAGTTTCCGAGTCTTGCGCTTGAGCGCCGGCCCTGTGAAAACGCGGATTTCCGAGTCTTGCGTTTGAATCTCCGCCGCGGGATAAAGCGGGTTTTTGCTCGATGTGTGGATTTTTTTTGCTGGTATGAGTATCTTATACATCGATTTGTATTTACTTGCTATGGTTACGCCGATGTTTTGAATATTTTTTTGGGGATTTTCAATGATCAGCGTTGGGGCGTTAAGTGGCCGCTACGGTGCCGGCGCTCAGGCATTGAATGTCTCGTACGTCGGCGGCTGTCAATGTGTTAATATATCATTGTATAGGGTACAAACTATATTAATAAATTGACTGCTTTGTAGATCACTGGTGATCTCAACTCTACTTCGCTATAGTGCCGTGTAGGTTACCGGTGATTGGAAATGCAATTAATAGTAAAAATACATAATTAGAGTAAATATCGATATTGATAAATTTTTAAATAATACCATTGTTTTTATAAAGGTTTGTGTGTGTTGAAGAAAATAACCAGAACATGAAAAAATAATTTCATTAATACAAGGAAAATATGTATGACATACAACGACGTTTTTTCTGTACGCAATTGTTTGGTAAAATGCAATCTTCATAATTAGAACATTTCATTAAATTAGTTATTTCTCTCGTCCAAAACTAAAATTATTAATAAATATTTTTAGCAGAGATATTGAACAGTATAAAGAACTAGAACTTTATTTTGATCAAATTGGACGTTTCGTCCCTTTATTGGGACTTCTTCAGCAATTGGAAATTTTTTTATTATGAATTACATGAGAAACATATGTGGGATGAGCGCCTCCAAGCCAAATACTTAAATAAGCATTCGTGAAGAGATTGGATGTGGGCCCTGGATAGCTCAATGGATAAAGAGCAGTCGCCCGGAAAGCGGAAGATCCGGGTTCGAGTCCCCGGTCCAGTCAGTCCAACGGCCCAATTTTTTCACGAATCCTACACATACATTATAAAAATATATATTGGTTGGGAATTATGCAAGTAATATATAATAAATGTACAAGAATTATGAAAAGACGATAGGAAAAATGATTTCTATTGGAAATTAGAAAAAGCGTTAAARTTTTGATTCGAGGGTGACATTTTATAATGTATATAGGTATAGTAAATTTATTGATAGGTAAATTCATATTTTGTCAAGCTATTAAATATTGCTTATTAATTTTTATAGTCTTACATAATATTATTTGTAAGGGTCTATAAAAAAAGGTCGGTATGATAATAATTTGTTATTAAAAATTAAAAAAATATTTTTCTTCAGTGGCCTAGATACGAAATAAAAGTACAACGAAATAGAAGTTAGGAACGTCCATCACTATTCAACCATGTTTCTGATATTAGTAAGAAGTTCGTAAACGTTTAATAACTGCATCATCCATAT